CATGTTCATTGCAATCTCTATCAAAATCCTAATGACATTCTTCACAAAAATAGAAAAACCAATCCTAAAATACATATGGAAACGCAAAACACCTCAAATAGCCAAAGCAATTCTGAGCAAAAAGGCCAATGCTGGAGGTATCATAATACTCAACTTCCAACTATACTACAGAGCTGTAACAATAAAAATAGCATGGCAATGGTACAAAACAGACTTAAAGACCAACGAATTAGAATAGAACACCCAGACATAATCCCATGAAGCTACAGCCACCTGATCTTTGACAAAGGAGCCCAAAACACACTATGGAGAAATAGTTTCTTCAACAAATTTTTCTGGGAAAACTAGATATCCACATGTAGAAGACTGAAATTCAATCCTTGTGTCTCACTCTGCACCAAAATCAACTCAAAATGGACCAAAGAACCTTAATATAGGCCTGAAATCTTGAAACAATTACAGGAAATAGAAGGAGATACACTGGAACATATAGGCATAGGGAAGGATTTCCTGAGTAGAACTCAAAAGGTTCAGCATCTAAGAGAAAGAATGAACAAATGGGACTGTACCAAACTAAAAAGTTTCTGCCTGGCAAAAGAAACAGCCACTAGACTCAAGAGATAGCCCACAGGATGAGAGAAAATCTTTGCCAGCTATTCATCTGATAAGGTTCTAATGCACAGAGTCTTAACCCCCAAAGAAATTCAGGCATCACTCCCCATCCCCCTCCTTTTATTCTTCTTTCCCACTCCTATTAAATTTCTATATTGGAGTTACAATTTCATACACAACTTATATTACTTGAAGAAGTAAGTTGTGTAGTAAAAAATCTCAACCCCCAAAGAATTAACATCCAAATGAAGAAAAAGGTACATGTTTAATTAAACAGGGAATTCTTAAAGGAAGAGCTGGTACAGATGGCCAGTAAATACATGAAGAAGTATTTGACTTCCCTGTCTATAAAAATGCAAATCGAAACTACGCTAAGATTTCATCTCTCCTCAGCTATAATGACCATATTCAAGGGCAATAACAACAAATGCTGGCAAGGATACTTCAAAACAGGAACCCTTATAAACTGTTGTGGGGAATGCAAATTAGTACAACCATTATGGAAAACAGTATGAAGAATCCTCAAAAAGCTAAAGATAGAACTGCCATATGATCTAGTGATACTGCTGCTGGGCATCTACCCAAAGGAATGTAAGTCAGGATATAATAGAGACATCTGTACCATTGGTGTTCATTGCAGCACTATTCACAATAGCTAAGCTATAGAAACAACCCAGATGTTGTTTCTGGATTGATGAACCAGTTGTAGATGCCCTACAACTGATGAATGGACCAAAAAATGTACGTGTGTGCACGCATGTGTGTGTGTGTGTGTGTGTGTGTGTGTGTGTGTATGGAACAATGGCAGCATGTAGTTTGAAAGTTAATAGATGCAATTGGAGGACACCATGTAACATCACGTAAGCCAGGCTCAGAAAGACAAAGGCCACATGATTTCTCTCATACTTGGAAGATATACCCAAAAGATAAACATACACAAAAACAAACATAATCATATACAAACTCATATGTAGAACTTCTTTGTAGTAATGGAACTTTTCTTTGGAACTTGGCAATGGAGGGAAAGGAAAAGAGAATGATAGACCATCAACAATAGCGTAAAACATAACATCTGTGACGTTACAAGATATAAGGTTGAAAGCTGTTGAAAAATAGGGGTGGGAGATAAAGAGGTAAGGTGGAGTAATGGAGGGGGTTGAATGGACCAAAGTAAAGTATGCTCAAAGTAGGGATATATTGAGAAACCCTTTAGAACGTTGAATTAAATGTTAATAATGAAAGACAGGACTGTAAGATAGGCACAGTGTAGGGGAAGAGGGTGAATGAAGGAGAGTAAGGTGAGTGTATTAGTTGATGGACTTTGTAAACGTACATGAAATAGAACAAAGAAACTTTTTGAGATTGCTTTAGGTGGTGTAGGGAGGAGGTTGAGGGGGATAGATGGTGTGAGTGATCCAACCAATGTACAATATAAACATATCTGGAGTTATCACAATGAATCTACCCTGTACAATGAATATATCCAAATAAAATTTTTTAACTTATTAGTTTTGATATTTGAACTCACCTATGTAACCACTACTCAAATGAAGATATCTTACATTTCCATCACACGAGAGAGTTTTAACTCCTGTCTTTCTTTACCTGTATGAGAAATCATAAATTAGTTTTCATCCATTCTAGAACTTCATATGAATGGAAGAATTCACATAAGTGAAATAATTTTATTGATTCTGGCTTTTTGTTTTATTCTGTATAATGTTATTGAAATTCACCTACATTTCTGTAATGTCAATAGTTAACACTTTGTATTGCTGAGTAACATTCAAGTGATTGAACATAACCAACTCTGTTCATTTTTTAGTCAGTGGGAAGTTGGATTGTTTGACATCTTGTCTGCATAAATGAAAGCTGATATGAACTTACTTTGTGTAGTAGGGATGTGAACTCATGACCTCATGCTTGGTAGGCAGGTGCTCTATCATTTGAGCCATGTGCTTAGTACTTCATGCTTTGTTTATTTTTGAGATAGGGTCTTCTGTTTTTGCCTGTGCCAGCCTGAACCATGATCCTCTTATTTATGTTTCTCATGTAGCTGGGATGAAAGGTATGTGTCACCACACTAGCTTTTCATTGCATGAGATGATCTCTAATGAATGTTTTGCCCAGGCTGGCCTTGAACTGAGATCTTCCTTATCTCTGCCTCCTGAGTGGTTTCCCAGTCCTATGACATGCAGCTATGCACAAGTTCTTCCAGTAGCTATTGCATGACTTGTGGGATCCAAACTGGGAAAAAAGAATCCTGTCCTCCAAATATCAATAATTTTTGGACTGATTGCTTTCTGCTTGCAAAGATACAGAAAAAAATGTGAAAAGCTGTTGCTTCTTTACCTTTCCCTATTTTATAGGTTCCTTCCTCTCTTGCTGCAGTGATTTCCAGGGAATTTAAAAGCCAGTGACCATTTTTCTGCTTTCATTCTTCTCTTTTACTGCTTTGGGTAAAAGAGACTTGGTGATTCTCATGCAGGCGCATTTACAGTGAAATTATAACATCACTGAGCATGACAAGAGGAAACTGCAGGCTCAGAAAAGAACAAAGAAGGAGGTAAGTGTTATCGTTTGGATCTAGAATGTCCCTAAATGCCCATGTTTAACATAGGTAATTTGTTTGAGATCTCTATTTTTATGTAAGTTAGCATTGCTATATATAGCACTTAATAATTCTTTTGTCATATCCATAGGTTTTTGGTATGTTGTGTCTCCATTTTTATTTAATTCAAGGAATTTTAAAATTTCCCTTCTCAGTTCTTTGATAATTTACTGTTACTCAACAGTGTGTTGTTTAGTCTTCTTGTTTTTGTGTGATTTCTGAAATTTGTTTTGCTGCTGATGTCTAGTTTCATTCCATTTTGATTAGAGAAAATACAGTATAATTTTTTAGTGTGTTTAAACTCTTTTTATTTTAGAAAATGTTCTAAACATTGTTGAAGTGTAGTCTGCAACTTTGGATGGAAATTCTGTAAATATCTGCTAAATCATTTGATTTATAATTTTATTTAACTCCAATACGTCTTTGTTGATATTTTTATCTGGATGATATATGTACTGGTGAGAGTAGGATACTGAAGAGACCCAATAGTGTTATATTGGGGCCTATTTCTCCTTTTATGTCTAGTAATGTCTATTTTATAAAATTAGCATATAAATTTATAGATTTTGGTATATATACATTTATGTCTTCTTGATAAATTGATTCCCTTCTTTGCTATTCTTACTCATTTTGTCTTAAAGTCTACTTTGCTTGCTTTTGGATTCCATTTGCTTGGAATACCATTCCCATTCCTTTCACTTTCATTCCATGTATGTATTTGCAAGTAAGGCGAGTTTCTTGTAGGCAGCATACTACTGGGTTTTGCTTTCTGATCCATTCATCCAGTCTGTGTTTCTTAATAAGAAAATTAAGACCATTTACATTCAGTTGTAATTGGAAGATATATACTTGTTCTTATCCATGTTTATTTTCTTCTGGATATTTAGAATATTTTTGTTCTTTTATTTCTTTCTTGTTTGTGGTTTTATGGTTTATTGTATTGATAGAGTTTGATTCTTTTTCTCTTTTGTTTATCTGCTCTTCTAATTGGAGATAGATTTATACCTAATTTCATGATAGCAGTTACGTTTCTTAAGCATCTTGTAGAGGATGGTCCGGTGGTCATGAATTTCCTCAATTTTTTCCACTCTTGGAAGATCTTAATTTCTCCTTTATTTATGAAGTACAGCCTTGTTGAATATGATGTTCTTGGTTCCCACTTATCTTCTTTCTGGACTTGAAATACAACATTCTATCTCCTCCTGGCCTTTAAAGTTTCTACTGAGAAATCTGCTATTAGTGTAATGGGCTTGCTGTTATTTGTGACTTCACATTTCTGTCTTGCAGATTTTAACATTCTTTTTCTCTTCTGTACTTTTGACAATTTAGCTATAATTCATCATGGAGAACTCTATTTGGAGTTCTAAATGCTTCCTGAACCTGGATGTTTCTGCCTTTCCCAAAATTTGGGAAATGCACTCTCATTATTTTAATTTGATCTCATTTGGGTTTTGCCAACATGGTTGTAAAAACTGAGTTACATACTCTTTCTTTCACAATGTCTTACCTTAACACACACTTGTGTCTGAGATTGGTCAAGACAACATGGCTGCTGAGGCAGCAATGCCCAGGAAGGTGCCAGAGAAGGCAGGCATGCCTTCCTGTGAACAACCCCCAATTTTTTTTAAATTCTGAGATCTTAAAGTCAACACACAGTTTTGTAAGATCTAGAAATTACCTGTTCACAAAAATAAAGCAGCTTTGCACAGTGAAAATGTGAGTTCTTTGACAAAAATTATATTCTGTAGTCTGCAATCGATCACCGGCCATCAGGATTTTATCTAAAGATCAGTTTTTCTTCATAAAGACACCTACACGCATCTCATTGGCTGTCCAGGTATGGTTTACATCCTAAATGTACAACACTGTCAAACAAGAGCTCCATGGCTGTTTCACATTCCTGAACATGCTGCCCTAGTCCTAGTGTTTTCTGCACATCCCGGCAGATCTTGCAGAGGCAATACTGGAACTCTTTGTCACAGTCATTCTTGTTTTTGCCACAAGTCTCATTGCACCTGTCGTGTCTGTTGCAGCACTTTGTCAGGGAAGGGATGCCAATGTTAAGATGAACACCAAACAATGGAGAGCCATATCCATTTGGTGGGGAGGGTTTATATCCATAGCATGGAAAAGGCTTTGATCCATCATTGCATTTGTACTGGCAGAGCCCATCCTCACTCCCCTACCCCCCAGCAGTTCCAAGGCAGAGTTCAGGTACGTGTCTATCCTATGGATGCCATTGCAATGGTCTTCAGTATGGCCCTCCAGTTGGTGGCCTGCGCTTGCTCCTGCTCTTGGCACCTGAGGGTGGCAGCCAGGAGGAGGAGGATGAGTGTGGGCTGTGGGGACATCTTCACAGCCTGACTGGGTCCCCTAGGTGCCCTAGGAGGCAGCTCTGGCCCCAGGAGTGACCGATGCCTGCTCCATGCCCAGCCTTCTTCCCAGTGATGTGCCTCATTTGCAAATCTTGACCTAAAATAATGATGCTGATGACAACAATGGGACATGTATGGTGGAAAAAAGACTGTCTGGGTTGGGCTTGGGGGAGGAGTCAGTGGTAAGTGAAAGGAGGAAAGGAGAAGGTACTGCTGGTGAAAAGGATCAAAGTATGTTATATATGAAGATAGCAGAATGAAACCCATCAAATACTGTCTGAAAGGAGGTTATAGGAATATAACAGAGAGGGTAAACTTGTTCTAAGTACACTACACATGTATGGAATTATCACAATGAAACCCCTTGTACTTCTAATGCATGCAAATTTTAAAAAGAAAAAAGTGACATCCATATTGATTGTTGAAAAAATAGAAGAAGTCCTGAAATTTAAAAATAAAAAAATCCCTCTTTGCTGAGGTGGTCAGGTGATGGGGTGAGCATGGATGTTTGCAACTTATGTCCATCAAAGCTTCCCTCTGAGATTTAAGCTGTGTGTCCCATGGACAAAATAATAGTTAGAGCTTTTTTATATCCTAATTCTTTCAGTTGACATGCCCATGGATCTTAGCATAGAAGGTGTTGTACACCTGACAAAGATTCTCTCCACTGCTTTTTAGGCTGTGTGCTTCAGGGGTGGAACAAATAGGAATGCTTCACATCCCTAGTTGCCTCTGAGGGTAGTGAGAGCCATGGAGCTACAAAGGTCTGTGTTAAGAGGACACCCAGTAGGATTCATGTTGTCTGCCATGCTCATATTGATCCCCTCAGACTCTGATTCCATGTGATTCCACACAGTTGTCTGCTCCCTCAGACTCAGAAGGCAGATTCCTTGAATGACTTATTTTAAAGGAAAGTGACTTCCACTTTCCTCATCATTACAGTCTTAAGAAGTGGCTCCCTTCTGAAGCTCTACCATGAATTGCTGTGCAGACAGAGCAGTACAAGCTCAGTTAGAATGACCCTTGTCAAGATGGCTCCTGAGTACAGCACCCTGCAAATTTGCTGGGAGACACAGAGATCTCCTTCTCTAAGGTTAGTTTGCAGTTAGGGATCTCATATCTCTGCATCTATTTAGACTTTGTATTTGCAATATGCCATCTTCACCCATACAGGGTACCCAGCTATTTGCCATGGAAGAGGTACTGGGTGTTTTGTTTCTCTTACTGTTTTATTATCTATAATCTCTGGATTTTGTAAAATGTTGCTGTTTCTCTGTCATTGATTTCCAGCTCTGTTCCACAGGCTCCTACATATACAGCTACATGCTTGTGGTTTTGGTTTTATCTCATGTAGCAGCAGATGAGTTCAGGATGCTTCTATTCTGTCATCTTCCCATCCTCCCTTATTAATATTTATTTATTCATCTCTTGTGATTTTGAGTTCCTTATATATTCTGGGTCCTAACCTCTTGTGAAATGTACACATGGCAAGTGTTTCCTCCTACCCTGTAGATTTTCTGGGAACTGCTGAGTGCTTTCTTTGCTGAACAGAAGCTTTTTAGTTTTATGTAATTCTATTTGTCTATTTTTACTTTCAGTTCCTGTGCTCATTCCAATGTCATGATGCACTTCCCCTATGTTGTTTTCAAGTAGTTTCCGGTCTTACATTTAAGTGTTGAATTTACTTTCAGTTCATTTTTGAATGTGGTGAGAGATAGTGATCTAGGTTCAGTCTTATGTATGTGAATACCCAACTTCCCTAACATCATTTGTTGAAAAGATTGTCCTTTCTCCAATGTGTTCTTAGCGTTTTTGTCAAAAATCATTTGGCTATACATGCATGGGTTTTCTTCTAGGCTCACTAGTCTGTTACATTGGTCTATGTGTCTATTTTTTTTTTGCCAATAACATCCTGTTTTGATTATATATGTTCAAAGTCAGGTAACATAATGTTTCTTGCTTTGTAATTTTTTCTGAAAATGGATTTGACTATCCAGGGATTTTTGTGGTTCATATAAATTTCAGAGTTATTTTTCCTAGTTCTAAAAGAATGCCATTGCTATTTGATAGATTTTGCATTAAATTTGTAAATCGCTTCAGATAATATAGACATTTTAACAATATTAATTCTTCCAAGCTATAAACATAGGAAGTCTTCCCAGTATTTTTTTTCTTTCTTGATCTGTACTGGGGTTTGAACTCAGGGCTTTACACTTGCTAGACAGGCTCTCAACCACTTGAGCCACACTTAACAGACTTTTTGCTCTGGTTATTTTATAGATAGGGTCCATCTCTCTTTTGGACCATGATCCTCCTAATTTATGCTTCCCACCATCACTGGAATGACAGGCATGTGCCACCATGTCAACCTTTGTTTCCCATTGAGATGGGATCTCACAAACTTCAGATCTCAATCTTCAGATCTTCAATCCTTCAGATCTCAGCCTCCTGCATACCTTGGGATGACAGACATGTGGCACTGTCCCAGCTATTGGTTGAGATGGGGTCTTGTAAACCACAATCTTCCCAATCTCAGCCTCCCAAGCAGTTAGGATTATAGGTGTGAGCCACCAAGGCCCAGCTTCTTTCCAGTTTTTGTGTCTTCTTCAATTTCTTTTATCTACCAGGGTTTTATAATTTTCATTGTAGATATTTTTGGTTAAATTTATTACTATATATTTTATTTTTGTAGCTATTGTAAGTGGGATTGTTTCATTGATTTCTATTTCAGATAATTTGCTATTGGCATATAGCAATACTACTGTTTTTTGTTTGATTGTTTCATTTTGTTTTTGTGATAATGGGGATTGAATATGGGGCCTTTTGCTTGCTAGGCAATTGCTATACCACTTGAGCCAATGTGCCCACAGTCCATTTTTTTAGTTTTTTTTCCAGATAGGGTCTTATGATTTTGCTTGACCATGATCCTCCTACTTTTACTTCTCAGGTAGCTGAAACCATCACACCCAGCCCCAACACTACTGATGTGGGTTTCATATGCTGAAATTTTGCTGGACTAATATATTAGTTCTAAAATTTTTTTGTTGGTGTCTTTGGAGTTTTCTATTTATAAGATCATGTAATTTGCAAACTGTGGCAATTAAACCTCTTTTCCAGTTGGCATGCTATTTATTTCTTTCTCTTGGCTAATTGCTTTGACCTTGGACTTTCAGTACTATGTCGAATAAAGTGCTGAAAGTGGTTGTCCTTGTTCCAAATCTCAGAGAGAAAACTTTCAGCTTTTACCCCCTCCAATGTAATGTTAACTGTTGGCTTATAATAAGAGGCACTTTATTATGTTTTCGTACATTCCCTGTATGCTTCATTGTTCAGCATTTTATTTTGAAGGGATTTTGAATTTTATCAAGTGCTTTTTGTGCATCAGTTGAGACAATCATACATTTTTGCTGTTCATTTTGTTGACATGGTGCATAGTGTTTATTGATTTGTACATATCGAGCCATCCTTACATTCCAGGGTTGAATCCCATTTGATCTTGGTGAAAAATCTTTCTAATGTGTAGAGCATTTGGTTCACTAGCATTTTGTTTAATAAGATTCTTTGTTCATCAAGGATATTGGCTTGAGGTTTCCTTTTTTCCTTTCTTCTTTCCTTCCTTTCTTTTCTGTTGCTGCTGCTGTTATTCTCTCCTTATCTGGTTTTGATGTCAAGATAATGCTGGCCTCATAAAATGTGTTTGGAATAATTTCTTTGTATTTTAATAACTTAAGTAGAATGGGTATTAATTCTTTCTTAAATGTTTGGTATAATTCAGAAATGATGCCATTTGGTCCTGGGCTTTTCTTTGATAAGAAACTTCCACTATTGATCCAACTTGATCTGTTCAGGAATTCTGCTTCTTCATGATTCAGTCATTTGTCTAGGAATTTGTCCATTTCTTCTAGATTATCAAATTTATTAGCATATAATAATATTGGTTCACTAATATCTCTAATAATCTTCCTGTTGTAATCTTTTAAAATGTAAGTTAATTTCCATGCGTTTGTATAGTTTTTGTTCTCGATTTCTATAGCTTTATTGTGATATGATCAAAAATGATACTTCACATCATTTCAATTTTTAAATATTTATTGGGACTTGCTTTGTGGCGTATAATATGATCTACCATAGAGAATGGTCCATGTGCTGATTTTAAAAGCTGTTAGGTGGAATGTTATAGATGTCTATAAGGTCCATCTGATCTTGGGTGAAATTTCACTCTTCTTTGTTTATTTTCTATCTGGATGATCTCTTCATTTCTGAAAGTAGTACTCAAATATCATTGCATTGGAATCTATCTCTCCTTTTAGGGCTAATAATACTTGCTTTATATATTTTTGGGTACATAAGTACCCAAGCACATTAAGTACATAAACATTTAGAATTTTACTTTCTTTTTGAATTGACCTGTTTTCATTAAATGATGTCTTTTCTTTTTTATTATCATATTATTGTTATACTGGGATACACTTGACATTTACAAAAATTCTTACACTATATCATTGTTGAATTCATCCTCCCTCCACCATTTTCCTTTATTCCCCCCCCATTACTGGAATACATTCAACAGGTCTCATTTTTCCATTTTTATACACAAGTATATATTTCCACCACATTCACCCTCCTACACCCTTTCCTTATATCCTCCCCTCTCCCAGTGGTACCAACTCCCAGACAGGAGGTCTGTTTTTGAAAAAAAGCATTTTTGGTTATTTAAAATAGCTGTATAGGGAGTTTTGTTGTGATATTTCCGTGTATATATGTATTATAACCCATACTGGTTCATCTCCTCTATTTTTCTCCTTTCTACCTTAGTCTCCTTCTTATGGTGATTTCAACAGGTTTAAAAATTCTGTATTCATTCTTGTATAGAAAATATATCAACTGTATTTATCTGATCTTTCTTACCTCTTTGTGGGTTTTATTTTTTGAATACTGGGGTTTGAAGCAAGGGCTTTGTGCTTGCAAAGTAGTTGCTCTACCACTTGAGTCATGCCTTGAGCCCTTTGTGCTCTGGCTATATTTTGGAGATAGGGTCTTGGTTTTTTGGCCTGGACTGTGATACTCCTGTTTTTTTACTTCCCACTATATCTGGGAGGACAAGCATGAACCACCATGCCTAACTCTTTTTCCATTGAGATGGGGTCTCACAACTTTTTTTGCCTGGGCTGTCCTGGAACCACAATGTTAGTGTCTCCCATAGCTTGGGATGA